TTTTTTTTGGGCTCAGCTGACCTATTTATCTTTTAATTTAATGAGAGGGTATTTGGTTTTGAGTGAAATATTTTCCTGTTTTGTGTTAGTTGAACCCAGGGATTTTTTTTCTTTAGGGGTATTAGAGAAAAAGGGTCAATATAAATGCATGGCAAACTTCTCAGATTTTTGGGATAAAAGAAAGACCCGATTCCTCTGTAAATATATTCTCGATTCTCGATTACTAAAATATTCTTGTACAACAGCTCTAGACCTGTGTTTAACGTATGAAAGGCCGATTTGAATTTTTACCTGCATTTAAGAAATTTTAAGGCTTTAATGTCAGACACATGAATCTGAGGCTTTCTAACAGACTCCCTGTTGAGGCAGGTACACCCCAACAAACGGATGATGTAAAGTTTCCTCTCTCCCTGTCACCCGCTACACTTTCTTGCCACTCTGCATCTTCATGTAACACAATTCTGTTGGCAGGCCTGTCTGCAAGACATCCACAGCAGCTAATGAAATCTGAAATGCAATCTGGCCTGAGTGGGCCGCAGGCTGGGACAGCAGTTCCACACACAAACACCTACCCACAGACACAAGACCAATGAACATGAACCGGACAGCACGCATGAGCTCACATCAGGAATACGACTCGCCTCAGATCCTCAGTAATCGGCCGGTTTTGCACAAAGCAAACACGACGCAGGTGATAATAGCGGTTCCCCTCCCGCCACCCAACCAACGCACACATGCTTTCACACGTCTATGGTCACGCACACACAGGTGTGAAATAAGCATGCAAGTTTTGGAAATGGGGTGTACACAGTGGTCTGTGATTGAAAATGTACATGTACTGTACATTCACTGTACAAAAAGTCTTCCTTCTTATCTCAGTTAGACCTTAAGTCATAACATAAAGGTATACAAACAATTTCTATTTGGTGAATGCCGCAGTAGCAGAAAATTTCTGAGATTTGTTTGTCAGAACGCTATGCCTTTAAACAAATAGAAAAGAAAACTGCCAAATTACCAACAGATCGGCGTTTTTTTGACATGGGCCACATGGGCGGTTGCCCAGGGCGGTGCTAGAACAGATAGTGGGGGTGGCTACAGATAAAGGAGGTATACTTATCTGTCAATGAAGTTTTAAAAAATGAGGAACTGGTAGCTCATGACTGCATCTGGGAAATATGAAGATTATTATACAAGCTCAATGCAGGACCACACTACATTTCCTACCAACAAGTTCAACATTTCAGTGCCTGCTGCTTTTAGGTTTTGTAAGAAATGCTCATAAGAGCCCTGGACTAAGCTCTAAAAGCCTTGTGAAGATGCTAGCACAAGGCGGTAATAAAGATTGTTTTTTACGGGGAGCAAGTTTTATACCCTATTGACTAAAAGGCCACTTACTAAAGAAGAAACTATTATTTCAATTTCAAGAGGAAAAAGCCAGACTGGAGTTTTCAAATGGACTACAGAAAAAAAAAAATTCTGTATTTTGATCAAGTTTAGTCTCAAGAAATCAGCCATTAAGTTAATATTTGGGCACAAATGGGTCTTCCATTTGTACCATGAGCCTGAACATACCACCAAACATCAATGTTTTGACTTTGTCAAATCATTAAAAGTCCTGATCTCGATCAAACTGAAAATTTGACAGCTGAGCAAGAAAGCAAGGCGGGATCAGAACCTGAGTAGGTTAGTTCTGTCAAAAGAAAAGTCATAAAATTCAAGGAAACTATTTTGAGACTTGTGGGAAGATGAGAGCAATGTGTCAGTATGAAAAGCAATTCTACCAAATACTACATTACATCTACACCAACTTGAGAATTTGATGAAAGTTTCAAAAATTCTCTTAAAAACCCGTCGTGTTTATTATCTAATGTTGGTTGTTAACCGAACTGACTGAAAACACAAAAAACTAAATCTGCTTTAAAAAGAGCAAAAAAAAAAAGTTGTGTCTTTTTATGCAACGTGTGTAAAAACCTGATTTCATCAGTGGTTGTGCAGATTGCTGTCTAAGCACAGACTGAAAAAAAACAAGAAGAATGTTGTTCGGAGAGAAGAGCCAAGAAGCCCAGAAGGATCATATTAGCGACTGGCTCTATAAACGAAACAAATGTGACTGTTTAAGGGAGGGAAGTGGAATTTGTCAACAAAAACTGCATTTTGCTCATATTAGCTCAGGCAGAACACGGCTAAATAACACAAAACACTAAAACCTCTACTTGGATTCTTATGGCTATCTGCAACGCCAGCTAATTCTGCACCTGCACAGCGTTATGAAGACTCCGGACCGAAATGGTTTCAGAACACTTTTCCAGAAGGCATCTGCACGTTATCTGGCTTTGGAAGGCAAATATGTGACCAAGAACAGCAGGCGGCAAGACAGGTTCAACTTGATCTGATACAGTGTCCGCGTGTGTGACGCAACGTCAAACATCTACAGAGCTGTCAACAATCGCGTTTATTTTTAGCATTTCACTGCCAGGCGTAAAGGCTCATTGATTTTATTGCTATTATCTGTCTGTATTTTAAAAAGACCAAGGTGGACTATGTAGAACTGAACGCTGGAATTAGCTCAAGATGTTTTGGCAAAGTGTCACATAAAGAGCTAGAACTTAACCAAACCGGGTAATTATATCCTTTTTATTTTCCTCTTTCCACATTTCTTATTTGTTTGAAGAATGCAGGTTTTATGTCACATTAAAAAATGGACAGTAGTCTCAATTTTCTCAAAATGTAGGAACTTACAATAGGAATGCACCGATCCACTTTCTTTCTTTCTTTTTTTTTAACTTGCGATACGGATACAGATATCTGAGGATTAGTATCGGCTGATAAAAAAAAGAAAACCCAGCTGATTTTACTTTAAATGTTCAGACATAAAAGTACTGAATTACCCATTGATTTGCTCACGCTGCAGCAGAACAGCACACCGAATTGCACCAATAGCTTGGACAAAGACATAAAAACGACTTTAATTTGTTCCGTCTTTAATTAGAATATATCAGCCAATGTGAAATAAATAATAAAAAAACAAGTTGACGACCTCAAACATTTAAATGATAAACTGCAAGAGATTTGTTTTTTTACATAAACTGTCACAGTTTCGAATTTCAAATGGTTCACAAAGTGCACAGAAACTCTAAATATAATGTGAAATAAATGATAAACCAGAGTGAACAGATCAGCCCTCGTGGATGAGGCGGATTGTCAACAATACTCCATCGAGATTGCTTTTATATATTTGGACCGATACAGATATAAATATCGGATCGGTGCATCTCTGACTTAAACACGATTGGCTCTTCAGTAATCCGTGCCCGGAGTTTCCGAAACGATGGTAAACACGAATGATGCCTCATTCATTCATCGAAATGTTGGCCAAGGTAAGTGTCAAAGGCCGCCTTGCATTTAAAGAACTGAGCCGAATAAACAAGCAAACAGATACATGGTGAGAAACCAAATGTCGATTTTTCCCGTCCTCTCTCAATTAGTCGTTTCCTAACATGTACTGTGAGCCACGATCCTGCTCCGTTCTCCCTGTTGCCTCTGCTGATAATTCGATCAGGCGGTGAGGTTCAGTGCCAGAGCCCTGCAGTGCACTGACCCCTGTCTGCCAGTTAATTGAATGATAATGGCTGCTTGCTGTCAGCTCCACGCCGTCCCCATTGTTCAAGCAAATGTGCTAATGCTCTATCATTACAGCTGGCTGATCTACAGCCGCCCTTTAAAACAAGCAGCAAAATGGCTTCTTCCAGGAGAACCGGGCATCAAACCTTCCACTTCCTTTGAAGGTTTTGCTTGTGTATGAGCAAAATAAGAAAAACGGGAAATAAAAATGTGCAACTTAACCAATGGGTTGCAAAAGACCACCATATTTCCCCCGCTTCCATACTTTGCTTTTGATTTTTTTCTGCATTTCACCTGCGCCAATTAATGTGAGGTACGGTTATATGACGTAAAAATAGTTCCTAAAATCTTTCCAGCAGTCAAACATGAAGATGATGTGGTTGTAGCTTAACACACAACAGCAGCAACGTTTGGAAAGACTCTCCAGAATCTTACAAAATCACCTGATTCTATAAAAGTGGTATTACAAATGCCCCATTAAATATCTTAATAAGCTCTGGAGGTGTTTGGTTAAAAAACACAGGCATCAGTGACGGAAATAACAGCGACAGCCACAGATTTGCTCACACAGAGTCGCCATCAAATGCCTTTTGATTGCAAAGCAGTTTATGAGAAAAGAGAATAGATTCTGGTTTTGGAGTAATTACTGTAAAGAAGAAGCTAAGAGAAGTGATGTGTTAGGTACGGTTTAGGTCGGTGTTTAAGTCCTAGTGTGTCTGCACTCAAGAAAAACTTTGTTAATGTCAGACATATTAGAAATGTATCAGATAAGTACTCAAAAGAAATAAAAAAAAAAGGGACGTTATAATTTCAAATGTTGCTGCAATGTTGACAGTCAAGACGAACTTTAGAATGGACAACATCTAATGTGCTTCTCAACCTAAATTTGACATATTTACATAAACATTTTTGTGAAAGTGGATCATCAAAATCAAAATCATCATTATATATATTATAAGGTTGAAGCTTTACAAGAGTTGAAGGTCACAAGTTTGCAATACGCCTCAGACTGGAGGGTCTTCGACAGAAATCAATATTTCAAACACTCAGTTTGCTTTTAGTTCCATCAGCATCACTATGCAACACAAAGCAAATTGTGGTAGTTTAAAAAGCAGGCCACAAAATGGCTGTTACTGAAAAAGAGGCAGAGGAAAGTGCAGTTCAGGTTTATTGGAGGAACCAAATCGATTCTTAATGTTTGTGTGAAATTAGACAACCAGGAAGTTGAGACAAAAAAAAGGGTTTATATCCATCCGGGCTTACAAATTAAACTGAAAAAAACAAAGGCTGCACAAGCAACAAGAACGTTTTGAATCGATTCACATTTGCTATTCAAGCCCATTCAATTCACCGAGTGCTAAAAGGTTTCCGGGCCTTACCTTTGACCTCCAGCTTATCCCCGCTGACCACACACTTCAGGAAAAGGCGGCCTCTTCTTTCGGTGTGGTCCATTCCGCAGAGGCTGGGCACGTTCATGACACACTGCTTGTGGACGTTCATGTCGCAGGCTGGAGGGGCAACACAGAGGAGACGAGGGGTCAGGGTTCATGCCGCAGACTAAGCCGACACCTCTGTGGAGTTTTCAATAAAACTGGCTTCGCAACAAAAATGGGACAAAACAGCAATTTTCAAAAAGCAATCTGTTCACCTGTGTGCCTTTTCGTTTTGTTTCAGCGCTGCATGGAGGAAAAATTAAAAAATCAAACTTCGAGGTTTGCTTCAGCCTTTTCTACGGCAGTTTTTGCTGACGCATTTCAATCTCGTTTCTCGTTCGGAGAAGGATTGTTCCTGGGGAAGCTCAGTGAGCGGCGTGAGGTAACAAGGTTTCGACCCATAGTCGTTGCTGTGATGGTTGCGAGCACAACCTGTCGGTCGGGCAGCTCAGCCGACGCCCCTCTATCCCCGAACTTCCTCCTCGTCGGGGATTGAGAGTGATTACATCGCCGTGTCACTCGGTCAGTGGGATAAAAACCATGAAAAACAGCTTCAACTATCTCCAGTTGGACATTTTAGCTCCTATGTTGTCTTCCTGTCTAATGATTAATGGCTGATTTAAAGCACTGCAGCACTATTTAAGACAAATGGTCCACTGATATACTGGAGAGGCATATTGAAGAAAATAAATGTATTTCAGGAACCACTTATATTGTATCCTTACCCATACAAGCCTAAGAAAAAGTTTGTAAAAAAAAAAAAAAACATGAGCTTGATTGACAGCACTAAGACCCTCCTCCTGGCTCTGATTGGTTGTTTCTGACCACAAGGAGGAGCCAGAAGAGATCCATTTTTTTTCCACAGATTTTTTTGTCTTTCAGACATTGTGACAATTTTAAGAAATATAATGTTTATCAAAGTTACATTCTTTCGCTTTATTGTGCCATTTTTTTGTCTTTTGCAAAGGAATGGGGCAATATTTAGTGACTTTGGTCTCTGTCAGGATCTCCTGTTGCCAATTTCAAAACATCCAGCCAACCTCAAGTAGGAACAGCAAAGCTCACTGGGAGGAGTCACAACTTCTCGTTTTATCTCCGAGGACTGACTTTTTCTGACCCGATTGTTTAGCCCTATTTGGAAGTCGATCTCCGTTTCTGCAATTATTCTATTGATCTGTGTTAGTGCGTAAAGTCTAACTTACGAGTTTGGCATTACAAGCCCAATCCCCCCAACTTGAAGTGAGACCGGCCTGACCCTTGTCGTTTTCAGAGAAGAAACCTTTTCGGGTTTAAAAGTCTCCTCGCTTTTGACCGTATTGGTGCAGATTGTCCTAAAAAGCAGCTGATTGTTCAGGGATTCACGAGTCTCATCACGCTGGGAAGCAATGAGCCCATTCAGCCTCAGCGACAGCGTTCAGGAGGAATGCTGCTCTGAAAACTTGCTTACTGGTCGGAAAGCATAAATGTTTATGCAACGCGAATCAACGCATTCCTGTTGAGAGTTTACGATGAGAAAATATGCATTTAGAAAGATTTGGGTCGCAGAGTGTGCTTCCTCGTCAGTAACTTTTCCTTAAAGCTTACTACATGCTTCAGAAAGGTGTAAAAACTGTACGAAGAAAAGATAAAAAGATGAATCATAACATTTTTCTGGCTTGCTGGAATGTCCTTGAAGAAAAACTAAATGGTTGTGTGTCTGTCTATAAGCCATCTTAAGTCAACTGCGAATGTAAAAGCACTTAAATTACACATTAGAACTAAAATATAAAAAAAGAAATTCTGCTGACAAAGTGATATTTTATTTACTTTTTCAGATGTGTCAAAAGGTAACTTCAAAGACTGAGAAGTTATGCTTCATTATGTCTTAAATTGGAATCATCAGTCAATTGATTTCCAATAACTGATTGATTAGCAACGCTGTCACAAAAGTTTTGACATTTCACAAACTGGATCTCTATTCGTGACGTTAATGTGGATAGTCAAATAGTCTAAGCAAAAAATAAGTGCAAAGCTTTTTATTCTTCATGTCATATTTTAGTTCAACATAAAACTTCCTACCAGAATCTGTGCCTGGCTGTGACTGCCTATAAATCTCGTTTGAGGACACATGTTCGGCTAATTTCTGCCAAACATCGAGATCGAATTTAAAAATCATAAGCCTTGTAGATTTGAAACTGCCCGGTGTAACCAGATGTCCTTTGCTTTCAGAGATTTTAGAGTTTATTTAGTCTTTACTCACAGTCGCACTTCATGCCCTGGTGGATGAGACCGTAGAGCAGAGAGCCGCAGTGATCGCAGAAGGTGGGGCTCCCATAGGTGTGGATCTTGAACTTGTGCTTCGTTCTGGGGTCCTGAAGGGGAGGCAAAAATAGAGGGAATGATACTGTTAATATTATTGCGACGTCCACCTCGTGATTCATCAACTCAAATGCAATCAAGGATAAATTATTTCATGTCTCGTTTTGCACTAAACCCGTGACAATCCTCCGAGTTTGAGAGTCACGCATTCTGGATTCAGAGAGAGCGATGCGGACGGACCGCATCGAACGTATCGTTCTTTGGGGGACTTCACATCGATTCCAGGTGGAAGTCAATCAATTTGGAAGAACCGAGTGGCAAATTACGGCCGAGGCGTTTCCTCTCCTTCCTGCCTTGATCGCATCAGCAGGTGAGGAAACTGCGGCTGATGATTTGAATTCAAAAGCAGCAAAAAAAAGAAGAAAAATGAGCAAACTTCAATTCGGCTCACACTCTCAGCAACATGAATCATTCACAAACTCTCCTGACAAAGGAAAACCTGCACATTATGTCTTTTTAGAGCCACTGTACCCAGAGAAAGGCTTTCCAGAACACAAAGATTACCATGAAAAGAGCTAAACATTGCCAGTCGAACGTAGAAATGGACTATTTTAGTTTCCGTTACAATGTCGGTGAAAGTCTCACGCGGTGTATTTACTGCCTTTTGTGGATAAATTGTAAATAACCTGCATTTGTATGCGAAGTCATCAAGGCCATCAAAGCCCTCCACTCATCATTTGCCTACATTGAGCTGCTCCAGGCTTTTTGTATAAATATTTGATCAGTCAAAGTATGAAAAAGCGTTTAAAAGACAGAGCCGGCACAGAAATGAGTTCCTGACACAATACGCCACAAACTGCTGAGGACCAACAGACCAACACAATCCTGAGATTGGACGGAAACAGATACAGGTTTTTCTTTTTTATCCAATCTAAGCTTTGTGTGTATTTGTATTCAATGTTTAGAGATAGTTGTTGCCCAGTTCTGTGGTGCCATTTGTTCACTAGTGTGTCCCAAAGAAGAGCTTTACCACTTGGAATGGTTTTCAAAAAACATCATCTGTGCTTGTGAGTCTGTGTCAGAAATATACAGTTGCCTATAAACGAAGTGCCACATAGTTCCTGTCATCGCTTTCAGCGTCATCGTGGCACAAAATACCGTGGTGACACTTGAACTTGATGTCGGCCAACCCCAGAACTGTTCAGCTCTCGGTTTGAGTTTTGGTATTTATACGGCTTTTTGTTGGTTTCCAAAAAGAACGCTAAACCTGATCCAATGGCATTTGGGTTAACATTGCACAGGCAGAATAATTATCGGACGCAGCTGATTGGTGTGAAAGAGCGACTGACAACAAACAGGCCACGAAGCTACATGGAAAAGCAAACATGTAAAAATAATAATGTCAAAGTTTGGGATCCGAAAGAAAACATGAGAATTTGTTCACGTTGGGGCTTCAAAGATGACTGAGTGAGCAGTAGAGTGCAGGTGAAGGAAATGAAAATAAAAGAATTTCACCAACAAAAGTACACAATGTTTCACACCTTGGAAAGGCCTTAATCCCACCTGCCGGGCCTGCATCCATTGTCAATGTAGATGATTTGGTTATTCAAATGAGGATGTGTTTAAAACACAGAGAAATATTTAAATCCAGCGAAAACCGGCAGACATAACCAAAGACACTGAAGAGCAGCCGGAGGTGAAAGATTTGCATCGAGATCACAGAAACGATAAGAATGGTGAAATTAATCCGTATTATAAGAGGTAACGCTCTACGGTGTGGAAAAACACAATTGCGCAACGTCAAAACTTAACACATGTAAACGGAACAACTCTGTTCACAATTTAGGTTTGTTGAGGTGAGATGAAATGTTATTTTTCTGTGAAAACAGTATCAGTTTAAACAAGCGCCGCAAACCCATCCCTAGGTAAATATTGGTGTTGAAAAGAGCTTGAGGGTTTTTTTATGGGATATCTTGAACAAGCAGCATACTCCCTTTTTTATACCTGCAAAGGAAAACAGAGTCACTCAGCAAACAGAAAGGTCTGTACTAAACTAAACTAAACAAAAAAGTGAGGGATGCCACATAGAGTGAAAGTGACTGAAGATGTAGCTGCAGCACTTACTGACTTATCACAGTAACACTCATTGTGACATTTCTAAAGTAATTCATTTTAGTGAAGCACTCTTGAATGAAGAGAATAATGAAAGCTGACGCCTTTTTAAGTGCCGCCTCGCTCACTCTCACACTTTTAGCGCACTGTGAATTAAGTATTTAGAGAACTAATACATTCTTTCACTGTTAAAAAACAAAACAACAACATTAGCTGTACTCCATATTCGCTCTCCAAAGTGAAACAGACTTAAACATAAAACAAGTGGAGAGAGGCTCACTGTGTAGCTTTAGATCGATCTCGACGCATCTCTCCAACATGGCAGTCATATATTTCTCAGTTTCATGTCAAACTCTTTGTCATTTTTGGCCATCATGAATGTGCTCAGAGGATCAGTTGAGACAGAATATATTTATAAACCATAAACCGACTGTTAAAATATTAATAAATACCTGTTTCTGCATTTAATGGATACTTTTTCAACATCTTTTTACCCTTAAAGCAGTGCTTTAATTTGATTGATAGAATACTAATTAAGCACCCAACTGTTATTTTGGATGCTATTTATAATGTGACCTTCTAAATTCTAGAGGGCCACATGAAAACTTATGGCGAACCAGATTTGGCCCCCAGACCTTAAGTTTGTCAGATGCGTCTTAAACTTAACCTAAATTTGTCACATTAAAACTGCAAACTTGTAATATTTCATTGGGATTTCAGGCTGCATGTCAATACTTTTACAGTGAAAGGGAAACGATGCATGTTTTTTTAGTTTTCTTTTTACTAACATAAATCTGAAAAGTGTGGCGTGCCTTTGTACTCGCCCACCATTTACTCTAAAATCCAGTACAAACCACTGCGTTCAGAAGTCATAAATTTGTGCTTCCTCTTGTTTTTTCTTTTTAGGTGACTTTAATAAACAAAGCAAATTATAAAGACTAAGAAACACACAAGATTGACTCGTGATAAAATTGTGGAAAAGTTTAAAGCAGAGATGTTCAAATCTCTGCAGTGTGTCTTCTCACACAAGCCATCTTTACTCCTTCACTGGACAAAGAGAAATGCTTTGTACTTCCACCTCCCAGTTTTCAATTCCTGCCATCCTTGTAATTTGTTGCAAGTTGTACTTTTTTTTTAATTATTTGTTGTTGTTTTTTGCCTTCTACGAAAACACAAAATTGCAAAACCCACTTAAAAGCTCAAGGACTCAAACAAAAAAACAAGAAAATGACATAAAATTTCCTGAAAGCTTCTATTCAAATCCTATTTATGTGCACTTTTTAATGAAGGTCTGAAGCAGCTCTACTGTTTTGGCAAGAAATATGGAATCACTAAATCTAACAGGGCCTGTATCAGATCGGACAAAGACAGAAAAAGACAAGACAGCAGGAGAGACCCGCATGGAGCCACAGACAGCTGATCCTGAAGGATTATACTCCTGTCTCCTCCTCCATAACCTTTGTCTCCTCCCATCAGGGATGAATTAGTTATGGCAGCAGAGAACAATGCCGAGCTGCTGATGAACCATAAATTTCTGACAAATGCCATTTGAGCCTTTTAAGGGGGTGAAAGATGGTTTCAGGGTTCGTAGACGGTGGAAAACTCTGACAACACAGAGCAAGAGTGATTGCTGGTCAACTGTACTTGAGCCTAAAGACGCACTTTATTCAAATTCAATTTAAAAACGGCTTATTGATGCCGGAAATGAAATATTGTTCTTCTTTATCCCTACAGAAGCAGTTCAAACAACTGTATTTGATCAGGAAACCGACAATTAAACTAAATAGATCATTTGCTAAGTGCCATGTTGTTGTATGAGAGTTAATCGGTGTAATATTATCTGCTTATAAGGAGATAATAAGATTGATGCAATTTATCCAAAAATAAACTCACATTTCTTTCTCATTGTTAAAATATATGTGTTTAACATATCAGACACTTCTTCTAGGCAACAGATGGTCACCTTAAAAACATTTAAAACTAAGCATGATTTGAACATTTGAAATCTATATATTTATGACTCTAAAAACCAATATTAGAAAATACAATTCATTTTCTTATGTTTACATTTCTGAACTTAAATGGATGGGATAAAAACTATGAGTTTATGTCGGATACATAAATCCAAGAGGGTTTTCTTTTGTCACATTACATATTGAGAGATGTTGGTATATGAAAAAACTAGTTTGACGGGCTTCGCTAAGTGCCTTCAGGGCATGATTAACCCTGTGAGAGGATGTGGGTGATAAAACATTTCCGGCATTCATGTTGGTTCTGAACATTATGGCATTTTAAAGCATTCTGGGTCAGAGTTCTTGTTGTTTTGTATGGAGTTCCACCTTTGAACTACAGGAACACAACGTGGTCTGAAGTTGTTGCTTGACTGAAGTGGTGGTCACACAGTCTATTACCTCACCGCAGACGTTAGAAAGTCGAAAAAATATATAACAAAAACAAAAAAAATAAAAGAGTAAAAAAATAAAGCATATTTATGCTGATGTTTCATTAAAAAATTATGTGGTTACCTACAGTGTGAGAATATTGATGACGGGTGATAAATATGAGCTGTTGAATCAGAACAGAATGAGTTATATTTTCAATGATGTCATCACTTGATGACGGCCTAATGTGGACGAAAGCTAAACATTTTATGCATTATCTAAATGTCTATCGGTTTCCTCAAGCGGTCAAGTAAGTATTAGCTCTGTAGCTAGCCATATATTTATCAAACTGTCTAGCTAGCTATGTAGCTAGCCATATATTTATCAAACTGTCTAGCTAGCTATGTAGCTAGCCATATATTTATCAAACTGTCCAGCTAGCTATGTAGCTAGCCATATATTTATCAAACTGTCCAGCTAGCTATGTAGCTAGCCATATATTTATCAAACTGTCCAGCTAGCTATGTAGCTAGCCATATATTTATCAAACTGTCCCGCTA